TGTTTCAAATGGCCAGTTGTAATCAATTGTGGTGGTGTCATTCAGCAAATCAATCGAAGTCTGCATTAAGTTTTGACATTTGGAGTTTAAATATCCAACATGCATAAATAGTCTTGCTGTCACTGAGTAGATGGATTTGTCCACCTGCTCTAAATCTTACCTTTTGTATTTACCCATGGTAAAAAAACCCACCAAACATAATTTCCTTTATAACACTTTTATTCGTATGTTTTGTCTCTCTTTTGGAAAAAATGAACCCCCTTTTTGCTGATACATGTGATACTTTGAGTGCTTAAAAACAGTTCAGTTGTCTACTTTTGATTTAAAAACTTCTGAGAAGGAAGTTGCATAACAAGACTGGGAGTCAAATATGTGAGCTTTGGCAAAGAGCTGCGGAAGAAGGGCCTGGCTGTAGCAACCTCACAAGAAAAGAACTTGACATTTTGAAAAATTTTTATTGACCGGTGTGGACAGGGAACGGGAAGTCAGATCACTCTCACAGGCAAGCTGCAGTCTCGTCCTTGCTGACCTTTAAATGCCACTTAGTGTCATCAGAAAATCAAGGAAATGCTAATAACAGGGCTTTGGGTAAGAGAGTTATATATGAAGGATATCTTTTGAAAACAAACATCAGCTGACTTCCATTTTTATACACATCTATTTTTGTAAGATGGAATTCTCACAGCAGTACACTTTTAATAGATTAATCTTACATTATTTTATTATCATTAAAATTTTCAGATGTATCCATAAGATGTCAGAGCTTCTATTCATACCTGAAAAGGGAGCAGTTTGCAAAAGATGTTTTAGAATTGCATTCTAGGTTGACCTTGGAACACAGACTGGCCTCTGCTTTAGGGTCTCAATCTAGCTTGTGTTGAGTGCAGTACGCTATGGACTTTGGTAGTCTTGTAGAAAGTTGACTTCTCTTTGTCTTTTGAAAGACCACCAGTTTACTGTGAGCCTTCATACTTCTGCATATTTCTGCATCTTTGCCATTTTGCCATTCCAAAAGTCTTTGGAAGCTAAATTTCAACCTCAGGAACTAGCAGGAAAAAATCCTAAAAATAAACTGCTTAGCAGTTGTACCTTAGAGAAAAAAAAAAAAGAAAGAAAACTCCTTAGATTTCAGAAGTTTAGTGAGAAGGGGGAAGGTAGCTGACAAGTACAACATGAAACAATGGATCCCTGAAACCTGATGGCACTATATGTAGGCATGCATATTATTGCCTCCTTCCAACATCTACTTTATGGAATTGAAATGGACGTAAGTCCATGGTTGTGAGTCAATACATGTTCAAGACCCTTGCTCGGCTAGAGTCTAACTTGACTGCTGACCTTTGCTGGTGTATCTGTGTTTATGCTGTGTTTGCTTTGGCTTAATAAAAAAATTACAAAGAGAAGAAAGAGGAAACTATTTCTTTTATCTTTCTAGGATGCAGTACTTAGTTGTTTTTTGAACTCCTAGGAAAGTGCACTTATCCTAGCGGTCTGCCACAGATTGCGATTTTACAAGTTAGGAGACATTTTTGAAAGCTCGCTATTTAATTCATTGGCATGAATTTTCTTTTTCTGACATGATTTTTCTTTTTCTTTTTTTTTTTTTTTTCACAATACAGTTACAAAACACACAGATTGTAGGAACTGATTTTGACTCTGAACAGAACATTCATGCTAACCTGTTTTTCAAATGAAACAGAGGATAAGGGCTGACTTTTTTAGCTAGCTACATTGGCTGCAACACTTGAGCTTGGCTTTCCTCTCTTACACTGCTGTAATTTGAGTAGTTCCACTGAAATTAATGCATTGATACCAAATTAAACCAACAAGAAATAAGAGACAGTTTGGATAAGTGGCATGTACATACCAGGTCCCTGCAAGTTTGCCTAATTAATATTGTATGCTCTTAATAGTTACCTTGCTAACCTGCCTGAAAATCAAGCTTGCAAAATCCAGTGATTTGGAAAGAAGCTACACTGCATCTAACACAACATAAACTGTTAAAGCTGGGTAAGCCGTTGTCTCTCTAGATTAGGTTTACAACAAAAGATGAGTCATGCCAGAACAACTTGTGTTGGTGGTTTGTGTCCAATGTGTTGGGTTTTTTTTTTTCTTGTTAAAGCTACTAGGAAGCACTAGATACGTGGAAAGCTTGAAGGTCTGCCTCCATTTAGACAAAGCTCTCATTGCTGACTGATGGGGCTTTCAAAACTACTTTGAAGTTGTCCTCATTCCACTCCCCTGGAAGCCGTAGCAAGTTTTGGTTTGGGGAAAAAGTCTTAACATGAGCATTCTTGAAATGCTCATTCAGTATATAATGAGCTTGATATAAAGGTTGGACTTGGAAAAGAAAACATAGATGAATTTCCAAGCTTTAGGTTAGCTTTTTTTCTTTCATTAAAGTCTTTTTATTATAAACTGTTGTCCTACATGACAACTATTTATAGTGTCATGTATTTTATTTTTTTCCTGTATCTTCTGTTAGGAAATCCAAGCTTAAAAATACCCAAACAAAACAGATTTAAAATGGTTAGTTGTTTATCATTCTATTCCTCCACAGTGATCTGTTGCCTGGAAAAGGATTCTGATAGCTCTTCAGCCACAAGGCCTAGAGGTAGAATTGAAAAGGATATTAATTTAAAACTGGATATATCTTATCTTCTTACTGGTACTCTGTATTTGTAATTCTGGGAGGGAAGTCTTAGTGGTTTTTTGTTATTTGTATACATCTCTATATATCTTCACAAAATTTCTCAACCTTTTTATCCAGCAAGGAAAATCAAAGATTAAAAATGTCACAAAACCATACCTTGTTCATTCATTTTGTAAGTTTGTGAGAAGAGGAAACTACTTTATATTTCACCCTGTGATCCCTGTCATTTCTTTAGGAGTAAAGAAACTTTATTTTACAGAACCAGGTACAGTGTGCACTGGAATGACTTAAACCTTGTAGGTTTACAGCTGACATCATTATTTTTTCTGCTGCCTAAGATACAGGACCAAGAAAAGACTATATTTCTTTGTAAGATTAGACCTAATCTTTTAAACCTCACCTTCCCCTTCAAGCTTTTTTCTTCATTTGCTAAAAAGGAGAAGAAGCTATTGATGCTATTCAGCTCAGAAAAATTGGCAATGAAAAAGATGTGGCAAATACTGCTTTAATCCTTCAGTAAGACTCTAGTCAATCAGAGAAGAGCAGTAGCATGCCCTGTGTGTGCTAAATACACTATTCCAAGATGAAGTCTTATGTGCAGTGTGCTACCTAAAAGATAACAGAGGTGTCCAGTTAGTTTGAAGTCGGTGATGGTTATGTAGTAAATGCAGGACAAGACACAAATCAGTTTTCTGTCTGCTTTCAGTTGCTGTCATAGGAATCTGTAAACTGTTGAACTTTACCAAGCAGTCAAGAACATGTACTACAGAAATACTTTTGCACTGTTATATTTTTATTTTCTTTAGTTTTTTATGCTTCATCAGTAGTTCCTCAACAGTTCTAAAATGAAAAGAATTGTCTTTTTGAGCTTGCTGCCCCATGTTTTTATTTTTACCTAAGATTGCACTTGGCACTTGTTGAAAGGAATTATTGTGCCATGTCACAAATCAAATTCACTGCAACTTACACTCCTACAGTAATCCACATATCCACCACAACGATGCAAAGCATTTTCCAGCACTTTCCAGACTGGAGAACTTGGGTTCAAAGAACTACCCTTTTTATTTGGAAAGTGATGGGATTTGTGATGGTCTTCAGTTTCCTACCAGTATGTATTCTGTAGTTTTGGACCAAATTCTGCCCAAGAGCCTTATATCCTGATGAGTGAATTTTGCAAGTGCGGTAGCATGCTCTCTTGTGCTAAGAACAGCATTATCAACCATGGTCATCAGCCTGTGCTTCCAGAATTGGTATGCTGCTCCAGCTCATGGTGGATTGGTATCTGGTGATTTCACAGAAGCCATTTCTGAGAAGCTACTGTCTCATAACTTAATTAAAAAGTAAAATCTTCAATTTAATATGGATGCTTCTCTTAATTAAAAATAGCAAAAGGTGACTCACAGGTTTTGAGGGAAAAGTTTTAGCTTAGGTCTTTATTAGCAGATTCAAAAAATTAATTATGTTAAATGTAAGTGTCAAAACTGAATTAAAAATGCACATTTTAAGCAATCATGCTTCCCAGTCTTTCCTGTTGTAGATTTACTGCTATAAGACTGCATATATTTCTGTCTGTATATTGATATAAAAATGTATGAAGACCTTAGTCTGAAATCAGTGAAAATTTTTCCAGTGGTTTTACTAAGTTTTCAGTGAGAACTGAAGTAATTTTTAACATTAAGGAATAATTAATTATTTTCTGCTGCTTCTTTCATCTGGGCTTATTAAAATCCAGAGTGGTGCCTGGTGCAGGGCTTCTTTTGAACCGGGTTAAATGGTTGTTTTCAGTAGGTTGTGAATTATTATGCTTGATCATGCGTATTGGAAATTGATTACATCAGAGTTTCTCTTACATAAATCTGCAGAGAAGACTCCAGTAAATCAGGCATATTGATAATAAAATAGACAAGTCTAGGGCACAGACAGCATGTGATTAATACAGTGTTCTCATTTACGAGCAAATCTTGCTTTCAGAAATGTGTATTGCTTGTAATTTAAATACAGCTGCAGTTGCATTTGGATAACCATAACGATGTGTCCTGATGAAGCATATATTTTAAATAGCAAGCAGCAATAGTGTTCCCATCGATACTACTGTTAAACTGCAGTAGGTGCTTATCATGCCTCCAGACTTACTAATACTGCCTATAAGCTTTGTTCCCCCTGACCTTTAGAAGTTTCCAAAAGTTACAGTTTGCAGTTCAGC